AGGCAGAAGCCACAACCAGGTGACGTTGTCACCACGTGCAACCGCCACCGAGCGTCCCACACCGCCCTTTCACGCACAACAGCCGTTGGCGGCCATGTTGTCCGCGCCACAACGCCACACGACCGCTCCGAGATGAAGTCCCACCACTGCACGACCTGGCGAGGGGTGGACAACTCTCTTCTCCGCACCCCCTTTGGCCACGTGGCCAACAGGACGTGTGTCCTCCCCAGCGCGTGTGACAGAGGGAGGGCCGGAGGTGGTGGAGGTCTGGGGGGACAAGCAAGGAGCTTGGGAGAAGAAAGTCATCAAGAGTAGTTGGCATGGATTCACCGAGGAGAAGTCACACTTGACCAACTTGACCACCTTCTGCTGGCTTGGTAGATGAGGAGAGAGCGGTCCATGTTGTCTACTTGAGCTTCAGGAAGGTTTTTCAACGCTGTTGTCTCCCAGAAGATCCTCGTAGAGAAGATGGCGAAGTCTGGGCTGGACTGGAAACTGGCTGAACCACCTGGTCCGTGGAGGGTGGAGATCAGCAGCAGAAAGTCCAGTTGGAGGCCAGTCACCAGCCAGACCATCCCAGGGGTCAACACTGGGTCCAGTCCTGCTCAACAGGATCATCGCTGATCTGGATGATGAGGCAGAGAGCACCCTCGGCCAGTTGGCTGATGACACCAAACTGGGCGGAGCGGCTGAGATGGTGGTGGATCCCGTTGCCGTCTAGAAGAACCTCAACGGGCTGGAGAAACGTGCTGAGAGGAACCTCATGAGCTTCATCGAGGGGAAGGGCTCCAGGAATGACTCCAGACTTTAGGACAGACTGGGGAGTCAACCGGCTTTGTGGAGAAGACCTTGGTGAACGCCAAGTTGACCACGAGTCAGTGACGTGGCCTTGTGGCAAAAGTGGCCGACGGTGTCCTGGGCTGCATCAGGAGTGGTGGAGCAGGTCGAGGAGATGATCTTTCCCCTCTGTTTAGCGCTGCTGAGGTCACCCCTGAAGAGATGGGCCCAGTACTGGTGTCCCCAGTATGAGAGAGCTACTGGAGAGCATCCAGATGAAGATGATGAAGGGACTGGAGCGCAGGAGGCTCCAACTGAGCATCAGGAACTGCTTTTTCCCAGTGCAGGTGACCAAGCACTGGCAGAAGGTGCTCAGAGAGGTGGCGGAGGTCTCCATCCTTGGAGACATCCAAATGCCGCATGGACGTGGTCATGGACGTCGGGCTCTGGTGGTCCTTCTCGAGCAGGGGGTTGCACCAGAAGACCCCCCAGAGGTCCCTTCCAACCCCCAACCAGTCTGTGATCCTGGGAGGGCGTGCAGAAACGCTGGAGGGGCGTCGCGTCCTCCATCCTCCCCACCTGACGCATCTCCCCTACCCTTGCAGGAGGTGTCTACAAGAAGATCGGCTACTACGACAGCACCAAGGACAACCTGTCCTGGTACAACAACGACAAGTGGATCGGTGAGCAGCGCCGCACGGGGGGTGTGAGGATGGGCTTCCCTGCCACGAGGAAAGGTTGGGAAGACCCACCACCACCACCACCATGTCTTCTAATCATGCCATGGCTTCCTCAGGAGGTGCCCCACCAGCCGACTACACCAAGGTCATCACCACCTTCCGATTCCTGTCCCAGAAGCTCTTCATCTCCGTCTCGGTCTTGGCTTCGTTGGGCATCCTCCTGGCCATCATCTGCTTGGCCTTCAGTGGTTCTCTAGTAGATGCCCCACTTGCCCGTCTCGTTGCGTAGACGCTTCGGGTGATGTCAAGGGTCTGTGGTGTCCCAGTTTCTCCCATCCCGTTGGGTTGGCTGAACGTCCCGCAGCACCGAGAGCTGGAGGGCGGTGGCCAGGTGACACGGTGTCTTCTCCACGACCCTCCCCCAGGTACATCCAGAACTCCCAACCGTACCTGAACAACATGACGGCCGTGGGCTGCACGTTGGCGCTCGCTGCCGTCTTCCCCCTGGGGCTGGACGGGTACCACATCGGGCCGGGGCTGTTCCCCTTCGTCTGTCAGGTATGGGGCTGGTGGGGTGGGGTGGGGACAACCAAGGGATGGGACAGCTGGAGGAGGAACGGTTGGAGATCCAGCCAGGGGATGGGGACAAGTGGAGGAGGAACGGTTGGAGATCCAGCCAGGGGATGGGGACCACTGGAGGAGGAGTGGTTGGAGATCCAGCCAGGGGATGGGGACCACTGGAGGAGGAACAGCTGGAGATCCAGCCAGGGGATGGGGACAACTGTAGGAAGAATGGTTGGGGATCCAAACAGGGGATGGGGAGAAATTGAGGAGGAACAGTTGGAGATCCAGCCAGGAGACAGGGACAAGTGGAGGAGGAACAGCTGAAAGTCCAGCCAGGGGATGGGGAAACTGGAGGAAGAACAGTTGGAGATCCAGCCAGGGGATGGGGACCACTGGAGGAGGAACAGTTGAAGGTCCAGCCAGGAGATGGGGACAACTGGAGGAAGAACGGTTGGAGATCCAGCCAGGGGATGGGGACAACTGGAGGAGGAACAGTTGGAGATCCAACCAGGGGAGGGAGACAACTGGAAGAGGAACAGCTAGAGATCCAGCCAGGGGATGGAGACAACTGGAGGAGGAACGGTTGGAGATCCAACCAGGGGATGGGGACAACCAGAGGAGGAACAGTCGGGAGTAGAGCTGGGGCCTTCCAAAAGAGTTGGTCAAGGGAGGTTTATGGGAGGGGGTTACACTCCGTGGGGGTGCAGCGGAGGTGGGACAGCTGGACGAGGAGGTACCACCGGCTCTTCCAAAGCCACGTTCCCTCCCCAGGCCCGGCTGTGGCTCCTGGGATTGGGGTTCAGCCTGGCCTACGGCAGCATGTTCACCAAGATCTGGTGGGTCCACACCGTCTTCACCAAGAAGGAGGACAAGAAGGAGAAGAGGAAGGTGAGGGGTGACCCGGAGGGGTGGATGGTGGGAGGTCACGGGGTCTCAGTGACACCGTGTTGTCCCCCACACCCAGACCCTGGAACCTTGGAAGCTCTACGCCACCGTGGGGCTGCTGGTGGGGCTGGACGTGGTCACGCTGTTCATCTGGCAAATCGTGGACCCGTTGCACCGCACCATCGAGGTGGGTCACCGCTGGGGCTTGGTGGGACGCTCTTGGTGTCAGGGGGAAGGACCCACTCGTGGTCTTAGGGGGGTGCTGACGGTGGTGGGGTGGTGCCCTCGATGCTGGGGGAGATGCCTACAGCATCAGGGGACTGTTGGGGGGATGCTCATGGTG